TTAGAATAATTTCAATTCACAAAAAAAATAATTCCTGCCAAATTTCAATTTAATCGAACAATGGGTATCCGTGCCATATGATTAGTTAAACATTTGAGTTTCCTCGTATCAAATTGTTTACACTATCAGTATTGGTTTTTAAAGTATATTTTCCACAAAACTCGACTTAAAAGATTTTTCTTTTTTTTTAATATATATGTCTTACTTTTCTGCATCGTTTTGAAACCTTGTAGTGATTATATCGCCATTACTTTAACTGCAAATTTCTTTAAAGAATTAATCATAATATCGCGTTCTAAGAATTCGCGAGAGAATATACATAATCAGAGACTTGTTCAGCTGTTAGAAGGTAGAAAAAAAGAACAATACTGAGACAAGCACGAGACAAATAGTCCAATGAAAATGTAATTTTTGCTTGCAAAAGTTTCAATAGTGATGATTTTTAAATATGTCTTAGGGTACGGTCAACGCGCTGCTACAAATGCTTTAAAGCAATTTTTGATTAGTCAATTTGTAAAATTCTTTTTTCTAATTGGTCAATCAAACGCTTCAAAGCATTTGTAGCGAGACTTTGACCGCAGCCTTAAAGTTCGGTGTCCTAATGAAAACCCCAAGTTTTCCAATATGGAGGGCTGCCGCTCGCACCGTCATCTTAAAAAATTGCCATTTTAAATTGTAGTTTTATATCAAAAACTTAACAGCTCTATAATGCAGAAAATTATATAACAAAAAATTTTTTAAAAATCATCAAAATCGATTAAGCCGTCTATAATAAAATGTTTGTCCAAAAAGAGTGCTTTTTTACTCTATTGTGCATGCGTGTAATCGCGAACGCGCACGTAAATGCCTTTCAAGATTATATTTATTATTTTTTCTTTACATTAGGACTAGACAGATGAAAAAGTTGTAAACAAAAAATTCTAGTTATCAATTACTCACATATGCATTATAAAGCCATGGATTATAAAATGTAAGGCCTATTGATAAAATAAAGTAAGCAGATATCAATAAAAATATGTGGAACGCTTTCTTCCAAAACGTGGGTTCTGTCTTCGACACATTTTGAAAATCTGGAATATTTTGTGGTAAGTACTCGGATGTATCGACATCATCTCTAGCAATTTGGTATTTTACATGTGAGCGTGTCATATTCCCGAAATAAAAAAAAATTCTGAAACAATTAGAATATATGATTAATAATACAAAATTTATTGAACGAAGACTTTCTTAGAACAAGTAAATATGTATTCCGTACAATTAGTACGGAAAACGCCTTAAACGAACAAAACTGGATTTTAAGTGCTTGATTAATATGATGTTTATATATTACATTTGTAGTCATTTAAATTGCGCGCCGAATTGATTTTTCGGTTTTGAAACGTAAACCCAACCGAACAATAAGTAATATCACAAATTAAATTGACTAACAACTTAATAATTTGATGCTCATAGATATTTTAGAAAAATCTTATAATGATGTTGAATAAGATTAAAATCTATAAAGAACTTTATTGCAAAAAATATTTATTTTAAAGAATAAAACCCTTTCTTTTATTTCAACAAAAAGTTGATTTTCTACCGATCAAAATAAATTTTGAATTTGAATGTATTTTTATAGTTTCGAGAGTGTTGAATTCAGATATGATGTTAGAATATATAATATTCTAACATCATATGTCCCAATAAGTCTCAGTATGAATATCCTCATTGAGATATTTACCAGAGTTGATAAGTTTTTGTAAAAATTTTACGTAAAAAATCATTTTTCCGTCCTTTATCATCATAATTTTACATAAAAAATTTGTAATACCATCATCATTCTCTTCAACGGTGAATTTTATTCTGTTATAATAAGAATATTAAATCTGTATAGAATCACACACATTTCTCTGGTCTCATAGAACTACTAGTAGAGTATCGTGCACATAACAGTAATACATAGGAAATACATAGGAATATCAATATTGATGGTATTAAAAATATCACTCTCCAGATTCTGCAGTAGATTTGCTAAAATTGAAGATAGTGGGGATTCCACGAATGCCAAAAATTTATTTATAGCATTGGTTATCAAATTTGTAAAAAGTGGAATTTAATATATATTAATAGAATTGCTGTTAGGCCGGAATCAGACTACGCATTGAAGAATGAGATTGAGGATTGAAAGATTGAAGTTTGATCAATCAGAGAACAAAAGGAGCCAAAATTTCTTTGTCCTCATTGGTGAAATTTCAATCTTTAATCTTCAATCTCAATCTTCAATGCATAGTCTGATTCCGATCGTAGGAATTCTTCAATTGAAATAGTTGTACTTTTAGAGATACAGAATATCTCATATTTTTTTAATACTTCTAATAGTCAATTCAGTAAAAAATATTTGTGTACATAGATACGTCCAAAGCTACTAATTTATAGTTTGAATCCAATGGCTTCCTATTAAGTTCTTTGACTAATTCAAAACTATTTTTTACGAATTTTAAAACTTTTTTCAATATCCTTCAAAAAAGTTACCAAACGATAAGTATGTTTATATAGAATGTTATATCATTAATTGAAGATTTTAAATACAATCTATTCCACAAGAGCGTACGGTTCCAAATTTCATTAATAGATAGTACACAGATGTAAACTCGGTTTTTCCGATTCTCTGAACAGTTCGGAAGAATGCTTCGAGGTTATATGAGTAGTGTGACTTGTTTTGTCTGTAACAGAGAATATGTCACACAATGAGTAAGTCGTTTTGAAGCAGTGTTTCTTTGCACACATCGGAAAGAATCAAAAATTTCGTATGCAGCTGTCGGCCGCTACATGAAAAAATCAGAGGGATTCGTTAAGACGTGGATGAAACGTTATAACGAAACAAAAAGTGTTGACGATCTGCTGCAACGTGGAACCCACGCGCTGAATAACGAAAAAGGATGAACAAAGCTACCAAGATATTTCAGAAGAATCCTGGATGTTCGTTACGAGCGAAGAATTTTTTATTGAAAAAGTGTAGAAAGAGTGTAAAGGTGAACTTTAATATACTATTAGACGACGATTGCTTGATTCCGAATACAGCTGGCGGTTCAAAGTTAAACCTTTTTTAAGCAAAAAATACGTTGAAAAATAGCTGGAGTGGGCAAATGCTAATATTGATCGTGATTTTGCCAATGTAATCTTTACCAATCATCCTTTTGGGCCTGGGTTCCCAGAAGGTATGTGTGGTCGACTCGTCACGATCCCATTGTTCAACGTACAGTAAAACATCCAGTGAAAGTACACGTGTGGGGATGCTTCTGTAAGCAACAGGGATTTGGTACTTAATATCTCTTCGCGGACAATCTGAATGCACAGAAAATGAACATAATTTATCATAAACGTTTATTGAAGTCTGCTTAAAGATAGTTTGACTCAAATAATAGTTCGTGGATGCTTCAAAAGAACGACACAAAACCCAAGTCGTGTGTATACAAAGTGAAAATGTAAAAATGGCATCACTACAATAGTCTTCCCAGTCATTTGATGTCAATCCCATCGAAAATGTATGGACTATCATAAAGGACAAACTCAGGGAAAAGAAGATTTTTAATTTAAAGTAACTCGTTTGTCATATATGGGAATATCTGGAGATGTCTTCCTGAGACAATGAAAATCTTATAGAAAGCATGCCGCATGCCAGACCATACTCAATAACAAAGGAGATTAGATAACTTACTAAGAAAATGCATTTTAGTTTATTAAATTTATTAATAGATCCAAATCAAATTTTTAACAATTCTGTAAGTTTTAGGAGGAACAGCCCATATGCTCTTGTGAAACAGATTATATATATGTTTCTGTTTCTGTACAAAAATTCAGTGTATAGTGTATGTTCTTTATTATTAGAAAAAAATTGATCTTGTTATCACTATCTGATACTACACAATATGGAAACAAAAATTTGAAAGAATTTGAAAAACATACTGCCTTATTATCAGCCTCGAAATTGAGAGAAGTTGTTAGCAAATCATCACGTATCGAGGATTACCGAATAATACGTCAATCATCCAGACACATAAAGCGTCCATATGTTTCACCTACATCATCACATTATTTTCGATTTTCTGGAAAAAAAAAAAAATAGAAATTGAAGGATCAATAACAATTATTAAAAGGATCATAAACAATTATTGAAGTTGCTCAATCATTTACCTTGATTTCAACGTAACATAATATGAGAAAGTACCGTGTCAGGTACAAACATAACCTAAAATTTCAATGTAAACACAACGCTGTTAGATTACAAATGTACAGACGCTGTCATTGAAACTCGCTTAGAGCCTCAAATTGTCTCACTCTGAAGAATTTCTCAGCTTTTATCATACAATTTCTGCTGTTAATGCTATCACTCGCGTGAATGAAGAAGGGGACTTGGTTTATCGTAAAAATCCTTTAATCCCTTAATAAGAATTGCGACATGTGCCGATTTGAGTGCCAACTTTTGTATACAAGATAATAGTTTCAATAAAATCTATAACTGCGAGAGAAATATATTGTATATCTGGCCTAGTTTCCACTAAGGGTTTAATCCAAATCAGAATGTAAGAACCAATCAACTACAGTCGAGCATTCCCCTGTTACAGTTGAACGACAGTACGAACGTTGTACACATATGGACACGTCTAAAAAATATGATACTAAATTGATGGCGATGCACAATAATTAATTAATAATTTGTAAAATAAATATTAAAAGTATAGGTAACTATTCAAGTAGTTAGTTTAAGTAGTTAGTTGCTATTTCCCGCTCTATGGGACACCGGCCTCAACTGAGCGCTTATACTTACTATACTGACTATAGTCAGGCCTTATATTTAAGGCTTCCTTAAATTTCTCTTCAAATACTCTTATTATTTCATTGGCTACTGAGCATTTAAAGATAAATTTAAGGTCTGACTATGAATACGGGCATTAGTGAGCTCTTGCATCTGATTGGTATATTCCGTTAGAACTAAAAATATAGATCAATGCCCGTATTCAGCCCTTGTGCTTAAGGCTTCCTTAAATTTATCTATAGATGTTCAGTAGTCAATGAAATAATTTATAAAATATTTGTAGAATAAATTTAAGGAAACCTTAAATATAAGACCCGATTATGAATACGGGTGTAGATTTTCAATTGGGCTGCGTTAGATTGCGTTTAGCAGAAAAAGCAGTTTTGCAAATGATTTAATTTCAATAGTGTTACGATTCGCAGGGCAGAGCGACTCTTTCTTCTTGTGAAATATTTGTTTTTAAGTACATATAAACAGATCGATTGAGCATATTTTTTTTATCAAAATTTAAGGTGGACGAAGTATTCTTTATCTTAGGAACACCAAATGTGGAAACAATGTAAACTGTTGTACAGTAGAGGCGCAGTGCAAGGGAGACAGATTTTTTCTCGCAGTTATCAAACTCGGGAAACGGTCACAAAAGTAATCGATGTGGCATCAGATGATTCGGAATATGTATTTCCTAAGGAAGCACGAGTTGTTATATGCGGAGGTGGAGTTATGGGTGGTGCTGTGGCGTACCACTTGTCCCTCATAGGACTGGGACCAGAGACTATTTTGGTAGAAAGTAGCAGGTACACAAGTATTATCCTTTCAAATGTACTTTTCTTAACAAACTATTAAAAATGTCTACACGTAAGTATTTAAAAAAAAATTTATTACCCTTATATAGTTTTCTCTTAAGCATTGTTTATATTTGTCATCAGACTAGGAGGCGGAACAACATGGCATGCATCAGGATTAGTAGGAGCTTTTAAACCAAGTCTGGCACAAGTAAAACTTGCCCAGGATAGTATCGCTTTATACAAGGAGTTGGAGAAAAAAGGTCTTTCGACAGGATGGAAGCAATGCGGCAGCCTTTCCTTGGCACGAACGAGAGATCGCATGACGTCGTTCAGACGAATGAAAGCACAATCTGTGTAAATTTATTTAATAAATACGAGATACCATGATGGACATTTCTGTTTAAACTTCATTAATATTTCAGGTCACGTAATATCGAGTGCCACTTAGTTTCGCCAGAAGAAATTCATGATTTGTGTCCATTGTTACATATTGAGGATTTAATTGGAGGATTGTGGATTCCAGGAGATGGTGTTGGTGATCCGTATCAGATCTGTTTGACATTGATACAAGAGGCACAACAAAGAGGTACAATTAAAAAAAAAAAAAAAAAATTAGAATATCCAGAAAGATTTAATTGTCAACTACTCCTAAATTAAATATATTCTTTGTTGTTATATTCAGGTGTTACAGTATTTGAGAATTGCGCGGTTACCAAAGTTATTAATCACAGTGGCCAAATAGAAGCGGTAGAAACAACACGTGGTATGATCAAATGTCAACATTTTGTAAATTGTGCTGGATTTTGGGCACGAAATGTGGGTAAACTCAGTGAGCCACATGTCAAGGTCTGATACATACTTTATTAAACAAAAAGAGTAGTCTAGTAGAAAATAAAACTTTGCTCATTTTTCAGGTACCGCTTCATCCAGTAGAACATTATTATCTACACACTAAACCTATTGCTAATTTAGATCCAATGATACCTGTTATACGCGACTTGGATGGATATATCTATTTTCGAGAGAACAAAGGACGCCTGTTAGCTGGTGGCTTTGAGCCAATTGCAAAGCCAGCATTTGAAGATGGCATAATTCCTGGTTAGAATAAAAATTATGAGTTACAAATAAGAATTATCCTAATGTATTACATTACGAAAAATAACTAATTACTATAATTCCATTTCACTAAATTTACTTGTCAATATTTTTTTTCGTTTTTTAGAAAGCATGGATAAGCGATTTTTACCAGAAGATTGGGATCATTTTCATATTTTGCTGGAACAGATGTTGCATAGAATTCCAAGTTTGGGAAATGCAGTTCTGGAAAGGCTCTGCAATGGGCCTGAAGCGTTCTCTCCGGATTGCAGATGGATTGTGGGAGAGGCACCGGAAATACGTAATTACTACATCGCTGCTGGAATGAAAACGGTTAGTCAATTAGCTGATTTAGATCTAATTATATAGGCTTTCGAAATTCTTTGATATAAGTGATGATTTCCAAAGGTCGGAATATCCGCCGCTGGCGGAGTCGGTCGCGCAACGGCGGAATTAATAGTTAACGGCTCGACTTCGTTAGATATGTACGAGTTAGATGTCTCGCGTTTCCTTGGACTGCATAATAATCGCAAATTTCTACGCGACCGAGTGCGAGAGGTACCTGGAATGCACTATGCGCTGCAGTATCCGCACCTCGAGTTCAAAACCGGAAGAAACCTGAGAATGTCACCGATTTATCCAAAGCTTCGAGATGCGGGCGCCGTTTTCGGCCAGGTCATGGGCTATGAGAGACCCTCCTGGTTTCAGCCGGACCATGACTGTGGTAATTTTTATACATCATACAAAACTCTTTCAACAAGACTCCATTTTAAAGAGAATCCATTTCATTCAATATTATGAGCATTCTTAATAGATTTGGAGTTTCCCGACGGTTTCCAGAGATACAAAATAGCTTACACGAATACTTTCGGTAAGCCCCCTTGGTTCGACGCGGTTGCACAGGAATACGCCGCTTGCAGAGAAGCAATTGGTTTAAGTGATTATTCTTCCTTTACTAAAATCGATTTATGGGTAAACTATTCAAAGATTCGTCTATCTTACTGCCAATAAAATTGCAATAAGACGTTAACATCTCACTTTTGTATATTATTGCAGTCAAACGACACGGAAGTTGTGGATTTGTTGCAGTATTTATGCTCAAATGATGTGGATGTGCCTGTAGGAAGTATTATTCACACCGGTATGCAAAATTATCTTGGTGGCTATGAGAACGATTGCAGTTTAGCGCGAATCGCACCGAATCAGTAAGTCGGAATGAATAAAGTTGCATCGCATGATGATAGTCTATTATTGACACAACTAGGAAGGTGATTCTACATGACAAAGTAAATAAAAAGCAAATTTCTTATATGTATATATATATATTTTTTT